AGGTCAGTATATTCTACCAGGGGACCTGGATACAGGGTAGCTTTCACAGCTCTGCTGCTGATCTGTGGAGTATAAAGGGATTAGTAAACAGCTGTATAAAGGGATTAGTAAACAATCAGGCGTCCATAGATAGTGTGGTGACTATGATTATAGCTTTAGGCACGATGTGGCCCCAGAGAGCAGAATAACTGTTACAACCTCCCACAAAACACAACCCAATGAAACAAACAAACCTTCCCTCAGCTTCATGACATACTGTATAAAATACAGAGATTCCCCAAGTACAATTATCTCTGAAATGTGAACTTTATTTTTTTTTACTCCTAATTTGGATAAAATATTGTTATGAATTGGATAAAACCTTGTTGTGGGTTGAGTTAAAATGGAATTGAAAATAATAGGTGTATGAACCCTTCCTTCAATGTACCTAACTGTAAGGATATATTAATCCCAATCTCCCACCTATGTGTACCTGCCCAGGAGTTTTGGACTATGTGAGTGGAGGAGCTTTGGCTGTGTAATGCGGTTTAATGTGGAGGAAGGCAAAACACAGAACCAGACAGAGACAGCCTTGAAGAAAGCCAAGCAGAAGCCTTTAAGCATGATGCAACCCTGAGAGAAACCTAAAGAGAGGTTCTAGGTCAGGGCTGCATGCTGAAAAAAAACATGGGCCGGTAGACTAAGAAATTCCTCCTCTTGCCTTTAGTTCCTACTGCATTCTCAGAAGCAGGATTTTGTATATTCTTTTTAAGTAAAGAAGATTGCATCAAAGTAAATATTAGGCTCCATCATCAATTTCTATTCACAACTGGAACATTCTAAGGCCCTGAACTTTTGGCTAGTTGTTTAGGTCAAAAAAGGGTAACTCTTTTTGGGGTTAAACTGTAGAGTACTACCCTGACACAAAACTTTCTTTAACACAAGTGTGTTCTGACTGAGCAAGGCCTGCAGCATTAAGTCCACTCAACTTTCCTGTAACTATTTAGCTAAATGAAAACATAATGAACCTCTAAATCAGTGTTTCTTAAAATGGCTTGTGAAACCACTTTGAGAAACCTGCTAGCTGGCTGCTCTAGAGAGTTTATTTATTGGCTTCGCAGCAGCCTGGCCCACGCAGCTTCCAGCAGCTCCACTTGACTACAAAGGATAAACAGGAGCCAATGGAAGCCATAAGGCTCTGTGGCTGTGGAGCCGGTAAATAAACACACCAGAGTGGCCAGTTAGCAGGTTTCTCAAAGAGGTTGTGTGGGACAGTTTGAGAAACCCTGCTCTAAATGAACACTAAAAGTTGGAGCCTCCACATTTAAGATAAAGGACCAAGACCCTTGGGTATTAACTGTAGCAGGCTCATTATCTTTTTAAATGGTCTAGCCTCTAGAGGACGACAATGACCTACATTTTCCTAGTGTGCATTAAAAAAACCAAAACAAGACAAAAAACAAGTAGGAACAAATTGTGTTCATTTGCACCTGAATAAATCTCAGATAATTTGCCTGAGATCAGTGGAATTACTTTGTATCTACAACAATGTAATAGAGCAGAATTTGATCAGTGCTTTTTGCCAGCTTCAATTACATATGTAGATGCTTTAGCGAAGCAGAAAATTAGTTCTTCTTATTAGTACATTGTGATGCAAGGCTATTATTAGAACATTATAATATTAGAGTAAAATAAGTATTGCTTTATAGTTCTGTATTTTTATATTTTTTTTAATTCCTAAAAATATTTTCTAGATTAAAAATTACAGGGAAGACTTCACTCAGCTACTTTCTGATAATGCATATACAGTGAATACTTTATTATTTGGCATGTAGAGGAATATGTATGTGTGTGTGTGTATGTGTGTGTGTGTGTGCGTGCGCGAGGATTATGTTAGTCAAGCATTCTGGTTAACTAAGAGTTTGGATTATGGGAGGGGGGCCAAGGCTGAGGCAGTGAGATGGGGTGTGGGCGAGGGTACAGGCTTTGGGCTGGGGAGACAGGCACCTGGGTGGGGTCAGAAATAAGGGATTCAGAGTACAGGAGGGCAATCAGGGATGGGCAGAGGGTTGGGTGCAGAAGGACAGAAGGATTTTGGCTGGGGTTGGGGATGTGGGACTTGGAGTGCAGGAAGAGGCTCCAGGCTGGGCCATGGGTACAGAGAGAGGGAGGGGGTACAAAGTTTGGGCTCAGGGAACGAGTCTGGATTTGGGATGTGGCTCAATGCTGGGAGTTGGGTGTGAGAAGGGTTGTAAGGTATGGGCTTTGGCAGGGAGATTGAGTGTGGGGAGTGGGCAGGGCACAGGAGGGTTTTGTGGTACCAGATCAGGGTGAAGCTAATCTCAGGCGGCTCTCTGCAAGTGGTGACGTGTACCTGCTACTCCTGAGTGGAAGCATAGCTAGGTTGCTCTGTGCACTGCCTCCACCTGCAGGCGCTGCACCCGCAGCTCCCTTTGGCTGTGGTTCCTGGCTCAGGGTGGAGTGGGCAAAGACAGCTTACAGAGCTCTGATGGTTGTTCTTCCATCTAGGAGCATCAGGAACATGTCATCACTTCCAGGGAGCCAGGTAGGCAGCCTGTTGGCTCTGTGCCAGCCAAACTATAGACCATACTTTCAATGGAGATCAGACATACCAGCTAAAGAGCTTTCCAGTTGGCATAGGGCCAGGTAACACGGCTTTTACAGTACTAAAAATGTAAATTTTACATACTTTGTGTGAATCATCAGCTTGTCAGCTTAACTGCCATTCTCCTGAATTCTGTTTCTCACACATCACTTTTGTACTGGTTTGACTGCAATAATAATATGAATATTTTATACTGCCTACAAAATAGGTGAACTGCTCTGAAACGGGTACTTTAAAAGATAGCATAAAACCTTCACCAAGATGAATAGTATACTGATGCATAACTAATTAGACTTCACTAAATTGTATCTGTTCATGTGTTCTCTGAGTTAATAATAAAAATAATTTCAGAAGATAAAATTTGATTATACAGGGGATACACAAATACACAGGGGAGTAATCCTATTTAACTCAATACATATAATTAATAGAGAAAATGGCTGAAATATTGAACTTTGTTTTTAAAAACATGAGCTCAATGGGAGTGTTTGTAAGAATAGGCCTATATGCCATATTTCAATTTCTGTTCTCTTCTGCACATCATTTCCCCTCTTCCCTTTCTTTTGCCTCCTACAGACTGCCAATGAAAGAGGTTCTGTCTAGCTGACAGGCAAGTATTGTATTTTTTTAAATTGAATTCAGTGTTGTCTTGGTTATAATCTCACTACTAAAATGTACCCACTACTAAATGTAGGCAAAATGTTTTCATCTGAATCTTCTTTTTCCCGAAAGAAGAAGATGATGATGATGATGATGATTGGATCAATTGAAATGCTTTGCAGATTTGTGTTCATTTCATTTCATTTTTATTATTGTTATTATTTGATTAATCAAAAATGTTGCATAACTTTTGTTTTGGGTTGACTCCAAATGATTTTTTCCAGTTTTTTGAAACTGTTAGCCACCTGAAAAACTAGTTCTTTTAAAGGCTCTGACCACAACTTTAGCTTAACTTTAACAAAGTTTTCCAGTGTTTCAATAATAGAATGTTTTAGCTGTATATTAATTTTAATCTTAGCTAATTTAATTTTGGTATGTTTCATCTATGATTGACCAACAGTATCTATTCACATATAATTCTACTTACTGATCCTATGCAGTTAAAAATACAATTAATTTACAATGTAAATTAAATATAACTTGGTAAATTAGTTGCATAATTAAAACATGCTTTTAAATAATTACTTAGTTTATAGCTTTTATTTTAAAATTTACAGCACCTAAAAGTGAGGTAGGAACAAGTACTTATTGAAAGGTATGGTCCCTCCTGCAAAAGTGGTACAATATACTTTTAGGTGTGACAGAAATAAGAGAAAGCAATAAGATGAGGTGAGAAATGACAAAAGTTATAATATGAAATTACATATCTATTCTATTATGGTTATGCAAATATTAGGATAGTACCATTAAAGTACTATCCTAATTATCATGGTAATTAATTTATCATGGTAAATTAACATAGCTCTTGCAGGCAGTACATTACACTTGTGTGTAGCTACAGAACACGGTATGTTTATCAGCCAGAATTTTGGGTGGCGTATATTGTGATGACTCTGTTGTCATCATGGGAGCTACACTTATGAAGACTATCGGAGGATCTGGTGCAATGTTACCTCTAATCTTTTCCATCCATGTGCGGAATACATTTAATGTGCACCAAGGCAAGTGCAATGTGCACCGCCTGTAGAAACAAAAACCTAGCTCTTGGCACTCTGCTAATCAGATGACCAGAATTTCAAACACTTGAGCAGCAGCACAAGTTGTACAGCTTATTGTTTTGGTCCTATATGATTTTACATGCATGTAAAAATTCTTCTTTTCTTTTGCAGCTGTAAATTAATATCAGAAGCTAAAACTGTAGAGTATTTTGAAGACTGTTGCAATGCTGAAATGAAATCAGTGCCTCAAGTGGATTTAAATGTTGGTTTTTTAAAAAATGTTACTTCCTTTTGTATTAACTACAATGCAGCAGAAGCACTCAAATCTGTTTTAAAAGAAATAATTTAGAATGTATCAGCAAAAAAGCCACACAGATACAGTAGTGGATGTGTCAAATTTCTATAGAATGTCCTGAAATGTTTGCTATAGTTTTAATGTGTATGCCAGAAAGCACATTTTTTTTTTAGAAAGCAAGTTCTATTTTGAAATTAAATAAAGTTGGACTAAATAAAGTGTGTATCTACATATATTGAAAAGTTTGTGATTCGTTTTCTGCATTAATCCAATTGCAAACATTAAATGCTGCTGACCTTATTGGCAACAGAACAATCCCACTAACAATACTTTTGATTCTGGTACCATTTCACCATGACCCATATAGTTATGTTCTCTTAAATAGTCAAGGGAATAAGTTTTTCCTCTTCATATTTGTGTGTCTGCCTACTGCACTCAATATGCTCAATGACTGAGGGCCCTTCCTTCCTGCCATGCAATATTTATCTAATCAACATCAATTCCAGCCTGCAGACTGCAAGAAAAATAATCATTGTTGCAGTAGGTTCTGGTGCTTGCACTGGGAGAGATTTAACTTCCTCCTCTTTTAACTATTCACTCTGCTGTTAACTTTGTGAGTTGCACTTTCTTGAGTTGTGTCTGAACCTAGGTGCTGTATAATGTACTTTTAATGCACAGTGGAACGAAGGGTAAAAGACCAATCTCTCTGCCAACCTCTGAGAAAACTGGGCTCGACCCTTATGTATGATCTCTTGGTCCTTGAAAAGGGAAATCACAGATATCTTTGCGTATTGTAGGGCTAGATTTCATAAGGACAGCTATGAAGAGCTTTGGGAGCTAGGTTGACTAGTGGAAGTCTACTGCATGTCAGGGGTTTGATTAAGGAGATTTAGACTTCAATGGAAATTGATTAAGGCTTAACATTTTTATTAACATAAATTTAATTTAGTGATAAAATGTAAATTAAAGCCTTGATAAGGGCTAAATAAAATGGAATTGGACTTTTTTGGGCTGGCATGATTTTTTGTCACTACCAACTACAGCTCTGTTTGAGCTATTGGTCCACAGGTGAAAACCCCTATATCCTTTTACCATTTCTCTAGGAAATTTAGTCCCCCCATCCTAAAACCTTTTCCCCCAATTGATCTGTAATATTTTATACTAAAGTACAAACGTCAGGAAATCTGGAGCAAAAATACAGTTGTTGGGTAAAAGCTTTCACAGATAGTAAATAATGCACGTTGTTAGGTCACAAGGGTGTCACAATTCAAGGCAATTGTACCTGCATTCCTCTTCTGGGGAATAGCATAAAAACAACCATACTGGGTCAGACCAAAGGTCTATGCCCTGGTATTCTGTCGTCTTAAAGTGGCCAGTGGTGCCCCAGAGAGAATTAACAAAAGATGTCATCAAGTGATTAATTCCCAGTCACCCAACCCCAGTGTCTGCTAAACAGAGGCTAGTGACACCATTCCTGCCCATCCTGACTAAAAGAGATCGATGGATGGATCATTCATGTATTTATCTAGCTCTTTTTTTAAACTTGTTGTAGTCTTGGTTGGCCTTCACAACTTCCTCCTGCGGAGAGTTTCACTAATTGTGCATTATGAGAAAAAAAAACCTTCCTTTACTTTGTTCTAAATCTGCTGCCTATTAATTTCATTGGGTGACCCATAGTTCTTGTGTTATGAGAAGGAGTAAAAAGCACTGCCTTATTTACTTTCTCCACAGTCTGGGCTTTATAGGCCTCTATTATATCCTCCCTTAGTCATCTCTTTTCCAAGCAGAAAAATCCCACTCTTACTAATTTCTCCTTGTATAGCAGCCGTTTCATATCCGTAATAATTTTTCTTGCTTCTTTCTGACTCTTTTCCTATTCCAATATATCTTTTTGAGAGGAGGTGGCCACATCTGTATGCAGTATGCAAGATGTGCATATACCATGGATTTATAAGAAAGTAATATAAAAGGCACCTACTTATTAATTCCTGGGTCGTCAGCCATCACCTCTCTTGAGCTGAGACTTTCATATCTAACTCCTGAATGGGGATTTTCCAAGCTGCAAGGTCCTCCACACTACACTATGAATTCCCACGCCAGTCAGGCTGCCTAACCAGACCTGCTTTGTTTTTCCCCAGGGCCTATAAACAGCATAATTGCTACAAGATACATGTTAAAATACAGCCTTGTGAAGCAAGTGGAAGCATTACTGAGAAAACAGAGTAAACACCTACATACATGCTAATAAGCCTATCAGCGATCACCCCAAATCCAATCAGGGCACTGACAGGTGACCAGTCTTTCAAACCCCACAAAAGGCTTTTCTATGGTTACAGTTCATAACTGTTTTTACTCACATGAAGAATCCCTATGAATTGGGGAGTCGTCACTCAATGTGGCTTTTGATCTTGATACCCTGTGACCCAGTTACCAACAGACAATGGGTTTTCTTTCCGGGGAATAGCTTCAAAAAATTGGGTCCAGAGGTGGGAATCTGTATACCTCTCCTCCCAAGGAAAACCACTTAACTAAGGCTATGTCAATATTGCTCACCTTGCAGCAGTGCAGCTGTGCTGCACACTTAAGCTGTTGTAAGGTATGCCATGTAGCTGCTCTCTCTTGGCAGGACAGAGGGCTTCAGCCTACAAATTAAACCCACCCCAATGATGGGCAGTAGTTTGTCATCAAGAGATAATCTCTTAGGCTATATCTAGACTACAGGCTTCTTTTGGAAGAAGCTTTTTCCTGAAGAGATCATCTGAAAAAACTTCTGAAAGAGAGCATCCACACACACAAGCGCATTGAAAAAGCGATGCACTTTTTCGAAAGAGAGCGTCCAGACTCATTGGATGCTCTCTCTGATAAAAAGGCCATCCAGAACCACTTCAGGCAAGGCTTTAGGTCACCAGTAGCTTCCAAGTGCTGGTGCTGGAGCCTTGCAGAGACACGTGCTTAAAGGGACCCCCTTGGACAGCTGTTTCTCTGCTTCTGCTGAGGGCTTGCCTACCTCTTTGAGGGACAGCAACGCTCTCACAATGCCTGCTATGGTTGCCCTTTTGCTTTGGGATGCCACAGCTTTTTCACTTGTGCCATGGAACTAGAGCTGCCCCGGGCATACTGTGGCCCCACACAACCATGGTGCAGTTTTTGCAGCACTTTGTTCCAGCTGACTTCCTGGTCCTGCAGGACCTGGACCCCAAGCTTAATCTGGGGACCCTCTCCATGGCTGCAGTTGCTCTACTCTGGCAACTGCACCCCACAGTGGAAAGGCGTTTCTGGAGGCTCAACACCAGTTTGGACTGGTGGCACTGGCTGCTCCTGGAGTGGTGGGATGACCGGCAGTGGCTCCAAAACTTCCACATGTGGAAGGCCACCTTTTTGGAGCCGAAGATGTGACACCCACCTGCGGCCCGCCATCCCTCAGGAGAAGTGGGTCGCAATAGCCCTGTGGAAGCTCACCACCCCCGACAGCTACCAGACGGTGGACAACCAGTTCAGTGTGGGGAAGTCCACCGTTAGGGCCCTCCTCATGGAGGTAAGGCACTCTTGGGATGCAGTCCCTGCACGGGGGGGAGGGAGGGGAAAAGTTCTGGA